AGGTATACCCCACATAGCAAAAAGCATCCATAGGGGAGAAAAAAGCCAGACTGAGGTCATTAGCATCACTGACCCTCCTCCAACTTCCTTCCTCTTGGGATTCCATAAACAAGCCCTCACTGCCAGGAGCCTAGGTCTCCAGGAGCCAGGACATTTGCTGCCTAAACAGTGTGAGTCATAAGGTATTTCACACAGGGCTCAGTTCCTTCCCATTTAATGAGGGCCCAGAGGCCATGCTTCCCATTCATCTCTCTGACCCAGGCAGTAACCAGGGGTCTGGAGTCAGATTGGCCCTTCACCACCACCAATTCACAAACAATGATGATGAGTAATAAGAACAATAATAGCAGCTAACACTGAACAGAACCTGAGAGTGGCACGTCAAGGAGCCCTCACAACACCATGGTCTCCCACCCCAAACCACAGGTAAGGAAACAAGTCTAGATGGGGGCGGGAGGCAGTGACTCACTCAGTTCAAAAGAAGTGTGTTGGGGCTGGGGAACTGACAAAGATTCTCAGCCTGACCAAAGTCTAGTTGAATTCCTCTGACCTCTTTTTTCCAACTCATCCTCATCTTTGGACATGTCCTCAGGAGCACAATTTTATGAAAAATTCTGCTAAATCAGTTTAGTTAGTTAAAACTTTATACCCTCAATATCTGATCATGTTCCTATCCCTTGGGTAATGTCCAATCACACTGGCCTGCTTTAAGCAAAAATTCTTTTTTGGGGGGTGGGGTGGGGGGGTGGGTATCAGGGCTTGAACTTAAGGGTACTCGGCCACTGAGCCACATCCCAGCCCAATTTTGTATTTTATTTAGAGACAGGGTCTCACTGAGTTGCTTAGCGCCTTGCTTTTGCTGAGGCTGGCTTTGAACTTGCAATCCTGTTGTCTCAGGCTCTCAAGCCACTGGGATTACAGACATGTGCCACCACATCTGGTTAAGCAAGAATTCTTTTAAATTTGGTTAGCCAGAATTCCCCTGACCCCGATCGACCTCTTAGTCTTTCCATCTGGTGACCTACTACCCTGTTCCTTGGCTATAAATTATCAATTTCCCTTTATATTCTGAGTTAAGCCCCTAATCTCTCTAACTTCAAAACCCCATTGCCATCAGGCACAGTGGCACATGACTATAATCCCAGAGACTTAGGAGACTGAGGCAGGAGGATTATAAATTCAAGGCCAGCCTCAGCAACTTAGCAAGACCTTCAGCAACTTAGATCCTGTCTGAAAATAAAACGGGCTGGGGATAGGGATATAGCTCAGTGGTAGAGCACCCCTAGGTTCCAACAACCAGTATCCAAAAAACAAAACAACAACAAAAAAACCTCCATTGCCATTCTTTCTATACCTATCTCAATGGTCCTGGAGAGTCTTATGGTTTTCATAAGTATAATAAATAATTTTATTTTTCCCTGTACTGGCTGTCAAGCCCAGGGCCTTATGTGCCCTATGCAACTGCTTTTCCACTGAGCTACTACATTCCTGGCCCTTTTTAAAGATTTGAGACAGGGTCTCCCTAAGTTGCTCAGGAAGGCCTCAAATTTGCAATCTTCCTACTTCAGCTTCCTGAGTAGCTAGGATTGCACACTCAGCTTAAGAAAAAAAATACACACACACACACACACACACACACACACAATCTCCATATACACACATCTCTCTTTCTCTACACACATACACACGAATGATTAAACCTGAGATACATCCCCAGTCCTTTTTATTTTATTTTTATTTTGAGATAAGGCCTAAGGTGCTGAGGATCTTGCTAAGATGCTGAAACTGCCCTTAAACTTATGATCCTCTAGCCTCTGCCTTCCGCGTGGTTGGAATTACAGAACAATTACGTTTAATAKAGCCCAAGGGTCAGTGGTGCCAGACAGGTAGGTGCCTGTAGGAAAGACTAGCAAGTGAGAGCTCTCCTTGAGCTGTCCCTGGAACACAAAAGGATGGGAAAGGCAGCCTCCACCCACCTCCTCTGCTCATCCTTGACATGTGATCAGGCTCCTCATTCTCCATTTCCCAGGTGATGTCGGATCAACTGACTGACTTACCTTCAGCAAGAATCCCATTAGGCTGGTTTGGCCAGAATCCTCCTTACTCATGATGTTGCCTTTTAGTCATTTTCAATTCACTGACCCCCATCCTGCTCATTAGATATAACATCCCACTTGTGTATGCTATATTTGGAGTTGAGCCCATGTTTACACTAAGATTTCTCTTCCCCTATTTCAATAGTTCTGAATAAGACATGTTTTTACCTCTTTCACTACTTTCCAGCTCTGTTTTTTCTCTTTTTTTTAGACCGGGGCAGGGTGCTTAGACTGAAAAGAAAGCACGTGCAGTGCACATAAAGAATGATTTTGCTTATATACGGTAGCATTATGGAAAGGGGTTTCAAGAGAGGGCTTACTCTGATAAAGAAGGAAGGTGAGTATTAGTTCTGTTCTCTTTCCCACTGAGACCCCCAGGTAGACCCCCAGTAACAGAGGCCTGGGTCAAATCCCAGAACTTCAGTGGTAGAGGATTCAGATGATTCAAGTCAAAGACTAGAGGAATCTGAATCTTCCCTTGCCTTATTGGCTAGGTAAGATGCAGGCTGGGAGCATGTCTAAGGGCCTGGGATGTGGGTGAGGAATGTTTGGGGCTGGGGGCAGGTGCAAAACATGGAGACGAAGAAGGGAAGCTATGCAATGGGGGCACAGGTCAAGAGATGATAGCTTTATACTCTGCTCACTTTACCACCCAGGTTCCCCAGAGTTTTGAACAGGTGTCATGGTTTAGATCTGGAATGTCATCCAAAGTTTCATGTGTTCAGAGGTGGGATTTTTCAGAAGTGATTGAATCATGAAGGCTGTGACCTCATCAGTGAATTAATCCATTGATGGTTGAATAGAGGTAGGACCTAACTGGAGGAAGCAGGTCACTGGGGGTGTGCTCTCGAAGGGTTTATCTTCACTCCAGAGAAGCTTTCATCCACCATACCCTTCCACCATGGGCCTTTCCTCAGGCCCAGAACAGTGAGCTGGTTGACCATGGACCAAAACCTCTGAAAGCTGTGAGCATAAATAAACTTTTCCTCCATCAGGTTGTTTCTGTTAGGTTATTTTGGTCACAACAACAAAAAGCTGTCTAGCACAGCAGGTTAGGGAAGTGTCCCCTCACATATCAAATGCCCTCTCTCAAAAATCTGCTTCAGGACCAAATGAGAAGCATGTGTGCTATGGATTGGATGTGATTTGACCCCCCAGGATTCATGAGCTAGACATGTGGTCCTTGGTGTATGAATATGGAACCTTTAAGACATGGGGCGCATAGGAGGCCCCAGATCACTTAATCCTTGGGAAGGATTAAGATGGGACTCCTGAACTCTCATGAGAGTAAGTTCTTATAAGATGGAGTCTGACCCCTAAATTGCTCTCTGGTTTTCTGCTCTGAACTATGATCTCTTCTTACACATGCTCTCACCATGATATAACACAGCCAAGGACCCTCACCAGAGGCTGAACCAATAGGGCTGCCCCAGCTTGGATTATGAGCCTTCAAGACTGAGTTACATCTCCTCTTTTTCTCAATAAGTAGACTGCCTCAAGTGTTTCGTTATAGTGATGAAAAACGGATTAAAATGACACACATCAAAGGACCTAAGCCATAATCATCACTCTAACTATAACTGTCACTTGATGGATGTGAAAACACTTTGGTTCCCAGAGGCGGCCAGCACCACGATGCTCTTGGGATGGCAAAATATAAAAACTGCCTTGGTATCCAGCAAGAGCAGTGCTACCCATTTATGTGGCTGACTCACATCATTGGATTCTGTATAAAGGTCAAGAGGGTGAACAAAATCTATGTGGTGGGGCAGGGACAAGTTGGTGAAAACATTTATTGCTTTTTAGACATGGTCTTAAGGTATCGGGAGTCCCAGGAGGCCCTGAATCCCCAAGTTCCCTGAAAGCTTCCATGGTGGAAACCCGGCAGGAGTGTGCAGCTCCAGAGAATGTGGCTGGCCAGGGGTCGGGATAGGGTGGGACATTCAACCTTAACATCTGCATGAGGAGAATGTGGGCTTCTATCTGCAAAGCCACAGATTACTCAGGGAAGAGTCACCTTCTCCCTATGTCATTCCAGGCACTCAGTGATTTTTACTTCTTGCCCTTGGGGTAGGGAGGTAGGGCTTCTTGGTGAACTCTGTGCTCCTACAGGCATTAGGAATGCCAAACCCTCTCCCCCAAGGGCTTCACATGAAGAGGTCCCTGGAGAGAGAGTACCCTAGACCCCATTTACCTCCAGGGCAGGGCAGGATGGTGCATGGGGGAACTAGCTGATCTGGATCTGATACATGTGCTATAGGAACATGCATAAGAGCTTTTTCTCAGCTGCCCATGCAGATATGTCAGGCAGAACTTCAAGAAATACAAGGCTGGCACTTTCTGAAACTGGTAGTTTTCAGGGATGAACAAACTTCTGAAGGACCAAGGGCCAGGATGGTTCTCCTTGACAACCAGGAGACCCTCTATATGGACACATATTCTTGGCCTACTTGGGCGCTCCTACACCAACTTTGGGGGACCTTGCTCAGGGGTGCATCAGAAAATTGGATCTAGACCCCCAAAACAGAAGTCAAATGAGTAGACTCTGGGACTCTTAYAATTTCCCAAGAAGAAGTGGCCCCATAACTACCAATTCAGTTCATGACACTACCTGTTCTGCCTTTGGGCTCTCCTAAGGCCATGGAGGAGCTGAGGCCTCAGCTGGAAAAACAAGTCTAACAGAAATTATGTTGGGAACAAGATGGGACATAACAGATTCTCAGACAAACAGGAGCAGGAAAGGACCTGTGAAGGCACGGATCTAGGCATCCCAAACATGGTAGATGCTTCAGAGCCATCATTGACCACCCGTCGCAAAAGCTAGGCCATCTCAATGTCCCCAAAAGCCTAATGGAAAAGCTCATGGAGCATCTGGACTGGGGAAAGAGGGGCAGGCAGCCTCACCTGGACTTGGCCTTTCCCCATGAGCCGGTCTGTGCTCTCGCCGTCTTCTTTGGCAATCTTTGTTTTGTTGTAACACTTTTCGTAGCACAGTATCCGCAGGGTCTGGGAACCTTCCAGCTCTATCTCAAACTCCTGTGGCCCCGAGAAAGAAGAATAGTTGCAGGTGAGCAAATAGGTCTAAGTGCATGGTGGTCAGTAGTGCTAGGGGCTGAAGGGGACCTGAGCCATAGCTCCTGTGCCTTTAGACCTTCCTCATTTAGCCCTGGGAACTTCAGGACCAATCCCTATGGTCATCACTGTCACTATAGTGTGGTGTTCCTGGGGGCTCTGAATCCCTCTCAAACCTAATTCAAATGCTATAAGCCAGCATCTCCAAGGGTGGTGCCATACCACTGGTTTCAGACTCTCAGGTGTGTTTGTTAAAATGCAGATATTTAGGGCTGGGGATGTGGCTCAAGCGGTAGCGCGCTCGTCTGGCATGTGTGTGGCCCGGGTTGGATCCTCAGCACCACATACAAACAAAGATGTTGTGTTCCCCGAAAACTAAAAAGTAAATATTAAAAAAATTCTCTCTCTCTCTTAAAAAAAAAATGCAGATATTTAGGCAGAGGTTGTGGCTCAGTGGTAGGACACTTGCCTAGCACATGTGAGGCACTGGGTTCAATCCTCAGCACTACTTAAAAATAAATAAAGTTATGTCTATCTACAACTAAAAAAACCATAAAAATGAAATTATTAAAAAATGCAGATATTCTATGATTTGGGGCAACAATATCATGGGAACATGGCTTCATTTTTAGGCAGTGAAACTATTCTGTATGATATTACAATAGTAGATACATGTCATCATGTGTGTCACAATCCATGGACCACATGTAATACTAAGGGTGAGCCCTAACTTCAACTCTGGACTTTGGGTGATAATGAAGTTATTATTGTCGGTTCACCAATTATGTGCAACACATGTTCCACTTGGGTGTTAGAGTTTTAAAATTTTTTAGTTGTAGATGGACACAACTTCTTGCCCTTGGGGTAGGGAGGCAGGGCTTCTTGGTGAACTCTGTGCTCCCACAGGCATTAGCCTGGTTTCCTTCTCTGCTGTGAAGGATGTTGGAGGCAGCTTTCTTTCTTTCTTTCTTTCTTTCTTTCTTTTTATGTGGTGCTGAGGATCAAACCCAGTGCCCCATGCATGTAGGGCAAGTGCTCAACCATTGAGCTACAACCCCAGCCCTTGGGTGTTAGATTTTAAAATGTGAGGGGAAAAGAGCAGGGGAGAAGTTAATATGGGAACTGTCTTTTTTGTCAATTTTTCTGTAAACCAAAAACTGCTCTAAGGAATAAAATCTAAGTTAGGGGTGTAGCTCAGGGGCACAGTGTGTGTTTAACAATGTGCAAGGCCTGGGTTCATTGCCTTGCTCTGTAAAATAATAATTAAAAATAAATTCTATTTTTTTTTAAAAAGGAATCCATGGAGGTGACAAAGGAAAGATGATTTGGAATGCTCTCCTGGGTTTTCAAGTTTTCTGCTCTGGGTGTGTGGGGTTAACTTGCTCCCCCTATCATCCCTTCCATGCTTGTACCACCCATGCTTATACCTGCATGGGCTATATAAGAGGAAAAATGGAGGAGGGTGGGGTGGGGGGGGAGTGGCTATTTCTGAACCTGAATGGGGATGAAGAGGCCATGCCAGGATCCCCCTGGATGATCTGCATGCTTGCCAGGTAGCCTGCTGCTATGGAGCCCTCCAGGTGTGAAACCTCCCTGATGCTCTGGCTGCTGACTCAAACCTGAACCTTTTACACCCTACCTACCACTCCTTCTTCATTGACTCTCCTGGGTCTTCTGGCCCCCTTGCTGTCTACAAAGCCTTCTACAATGGTTAACGTGGAACTGACACCTTGCTCCCATCTCAGAGCTACATGCACAGGTAACTGTATCAGTCTCCTATTTAGGTATTACATCTAATGATCAAAGAGAGCAGTGGACACTGAGCAGCAAGGAGACCTGGGTTCTGGTCGCTCACTTTACCGGCCACACGGTTTCCTTCTCTGCTGTGAAGGGTGTTGGAGGCAGCTTTCTTTGGCCCTGCTGTTCTACCTGCACCATCAAGATCAAAGATCTTGAGGTTGTAGCTGCTGTGGAGTCCGGAAATGGCATCTCATAGGAGCCTGGGGACTTAATAGATAYCGGCCTCTTTGCAATTGTGCTCCCCACTCCTGGAGGCCCAAGGCCAAAAGTTCACACAATAGTTCTCCAAGGTTGAGGAAAGCAGAGCAACAGACTACACAACCCCGACACCCTGAGACCAGCAAACAGGACCCTTCAGACTGAGGAGACCCAGGGAGTAGGCCTGCAGCCCCCATCCCAGCTCCCACAAGCAGAGTCCCAGGCTTCTCGAAACTGAGAGGGTCATGGAGAGTTTATTCCAGCTTCTGAGGGAGCTCATTCCAGCTTCTAAGGAAAAACATGGAAATCAACCATAAATACTAAGCGATAACAAAGGCAGGACAAAAAGCCCTTTTAAGTACTCTTTCTAAACATTTCACTGGCAAAATTGCTTGTTTGTGGTGGGGGTGGGTGAGTAAAATTCTCAGGAACATGGAGATAAAATCTCTTGGACTTAAATCTCTTTGATATGTCACCACCCCTCCTCTCTAGGAGATTCCTGGAATGCTGGTGGCACAGCCTTTGGAGGAAGCCTTAGGGAGCCCCTGGAGGCTTAAACTCTTCTGGAAAACATCCTGGCCCTGCCAGGCCGGGGCTCTCATGGATGCAGGACTCCTTACTTACCTCATTCCAGTTTGGCTCGGTTGTATCCCTGTAGACACGCGTCTTTGCTTTATTCACAAAATACCCAAAGGAATCCACCTCCAAGGTACAGTACAGATCTGTGGGAAGATGACAGGAAGATGAGAATACTTTTCTACATCACACACATTTTCCATAAGAGCAGGTATTATTTTCAAAATCAAGAAAAAAAAAAGGTCTTTACTTTTTCTCTTTTTTAACATTTTGTTTTAGTTATAGATGAACATAATATCTTTGTTTTACTTTATATTTTTTTAATGTGGTGCGGAGGATCGAACCCAGTGCCTCATGCATTCAAGGCAAGCGCTCAAAAACTGAGCTATAACCTCAGCCCTTTACTTTCTTTTTTAAAAATAAAACGCCAAACCAGTGGCCAGTGTGAGCACCAGCACCTCAAGAAATGTCCTTGCCCTGACCATGAAGCTGGGAAATGGGAACTCTCAGAATACTCACTGACTTGATCACTTAGCAATCCCCAGCAAAAGTCCCAGAGGTGATAAGGGCCCTTTGCTTGGAGGAATAGATAGAGATGAACATGGCACTGAAACCTTGGGGGGGATGCGGGGGCAGGAGAGCACTGCAGAGAGACCACAGCCTAGGTAAGCTACCTGATGGGGGATGACAGGTACGGGTCAGAGGGTGGGAGGAGCTTTTATGACCTGAGCAGACCCCATCAAAGCATGAGGGCACAGGGAACTCCAGGTCAGTGTAGAAAACAGGAAGCAGCTCAGTGCTGGGAAAGTTGAGGGGTACAAGAGACGAGGGAGGGGAGGTCTGTGGGTGAGTGAAGCTGGACTGTCGGTGGCTGTAAGTGTAAGACTGGAAAACGCCACACCACACGACACAGATTACCAAAGAGTTTTCCACTTTATTATAAAAGGCTGTGTGTCTATATAGGTCTAAGGAGAGGTCGCAGGGCTGAGGTAGATGAGAGGTCGCAGGGCTGAGGTAGATAACAGGTCGCCTGTTTATTGGCAAGCTCTTCCATGTCAGTTCCGGAGCCCAAGAAGTTAATTCTAATTGGGGCTAAGGCTTCCCACCAGCAGGGTTTGAACATTGACGCAGGCGGGAACGTTTCACGCCAGTGAAAGAAACAAAGAGGAGAAAGAGGGTCGTTAGATGCCATGCTGGGGTTTTCTCTGGGGTGCTGCTGCCATTATATGTTTTCCCAACAGTAAGTGGTAAGTGACAGAGTTTGGATTTTAGAAAAAACACTGGATAGGAGTTGTAGAGGCTTTTTTTTTTTTTTTTAAGAGAGAGAGAGAGAGAAAATTTTAATATTTACTTTTTTAGTTTTCGGCAGACACAACATCTTTGTATGTGGTGCTGAAGATTGAACCCGGGCGGTACGCATGCCAGGCGAGCATGCTACCACTTGAGCCACATCCCCAGCCCGTAGAGGCTTACTTATCAGTCTAGAGAGGAGGATGCTGCTGAGGACCTGGATGAAGGTAGCCAGAGATGATGCAGAAGTTCCACTGATGGAGAATATCCAACTGACAGTGTAAGGTAACAGGATACTAGTTTCTAGGTTGACCAGAAGGGTGGACAGTGGTGCCACTCCTCAGGCCAGGACATTAAAAAAAGAGAGTAACAAATTTGGGGGCTATGAATGATAGGTTCTGTTTGGAGATGTGGAATGTAAAGTGGGGAACACTAAGGAGATAAATGAAAAAGTAAGAGGGGAGGCCAAGAGGGATAATTTGGGATTGAGAGGCAGTTCTGTTGACATACACATTGTTGAAGGACAGGTGCAGGGAGGGAGGAAGGTCTGGTGGAACCTTAGGAAATAACATATCCGGGGCAGTCAGAGAGAAAAAGGTCCAGGGAAACAGTTATGAGTGAGTCACAGCTTTATGAAGGTATAATTGATATTCCATATAATTCATGTGATGCATCCTCATCTACTGGTTTGAGGATTCCTGGTAAATTTAAAGACTTGTACAAATAACACTACAACTGTTTCAGGACATGATCTTTCCCAGAAGCCCCCATGGATCCATCTGCAGTCAAGTCTCACTCCCATCCCCAGCCCTCCACAAAATCTGACAGTCTGTCTRTATATTCTGGCTTTTCTACAATTGCGTATACATAGAATGATACAATATGTACTCTTTTGCTTCTGGCTTTCTTCATTTAGTTTAATTTTTTTTAGGCTCATCCATGTTGTTGCCACTATCAGTAGCTAGCTCATTCTCCCCCCTTCTTGGTCCCCAGTCCTACGGATTGAACCCATGGCCTTGTATATGCTAAGAAAGCATTCAACCACTGAGCAACATTCTCAATCCTTCTTAAAATTTCAAGAGAAGGTCTCACAAAGTTGTCTAGGCTGGCTGGATGCCTATAATCCCAGCAACTCAGGAGGCTGAGGCAGGAGCATCATAAGTTCAAGGCCAAACTGGACAATTAGTGAGATCCTCTTTCAAAATAAAAATTCAAAAGGGCTGGGGTTATGGCTCAGTGCTTGCCTACCATGTGTGAGGCTCTGGGTTCGATCCTTAGCACCACATTAAAAAAAATAAAATAAGATGTTGTGTCCACCGAAAAAAACTAAAACATAAATATTAAAAAAAATTCTCTCTCTCTCTCTAAAATAAATAAATAAATAAAGGTTTAAAAAAATAAATAAATCTTTAAAAAAAGTAGTGGGGGGGTGCCTGGGGAGATAGCTCAGTGGTAGTATGCCCCTGGGTTTAATCTCTGGTATATTAAAAAAAAATTATTTTTTTAAATTAAAGAAACCAGGCTGGGGTTGTAGCTCAGCGGTAGAGCGCTCACCTAGCATGTGTGAGGCCCTGGGTTCGATCCTCAGCACTACATAATAATAAATAAATAAAGGTATTATGTCCAACTACAACTAAAAAGAATATTAAAAAAAAATTAAATAAACAAAACCAAGGTTGTCCAAGCTGGCCTTGAACTTGCAATCACCCTGCCTTAGCCTCCCAAGTACCTGGGATTAAAGACCTAGCTTCAATCCTTTTTATTGCATGTATGGATGTAATGGATGTGCCACACTGTAYCTGTGTAAGTCTTTCTGTGGATGTATGTTTTCACTTCCCTAAAGTGAATACTTAAAAGTGGGATTGGTGGGATGTATGATAGGGTGTTTTAACTTTTTAAGGAAGTATGAAATAGGGACAGTTTGTAGCTCGGCAGTACAGCACATGTTTAACATGCATGAGGCCCTGGGTTTGATCCCCAGCATCAAAAACTACAAAAATCCTGTGATGTTTTCTAGGGTGGCTGATCCATGTCATACCTCTATCCACAGTGTATTAGGTTCCTATTCTCACATTTTCACAACATTTGTTATTGCTCACCTTGTGTTTATCATTTTGGGAATGTGAAAGGGTATTTTGATGTGGTTTTAATTTGCATTTCCCTAACATGACAAGCATCTTTTCAAGTCCTTATTAGCTATTCATATGACTTTGGTGAAGTGTCCATCCAAATCTTCTGGCCATTTTTTATGATTGGGTTGCCTCCCTGTATTCAGTTGTAAGAGTTCTTTATGTATTCTGGACATAAGTCCCTTGTCATATATATTGCAACTATTTTCTTCTGTTCTGTGATTTTTCGGTGTGTGTGTGGGTGTCTCTTGTTTTGCAGCAACTGTGGGAAAAGTCAGAATGGTGTGTACCCTTTTCCCTCCTCATATGGACACCAAGAGCAGGGTGAAGATGCTATGCTGAGGTCCGTACAACTGCAATGCAGTCAGCCTTCACCACTTTAACAGCTTGAGCAGCTGGGAGAGAAAGGGGTATTATCCATCCATTTTGACAGAAGAGCCAAATCTACTCTGCTTATTGGGTTGAGGATCCACTGCCTACAGTCCCCCAGCTTGGAATTTAGGTTCTCCAGTAACCTTTATCAAACTCTGGCCCTTGCAATTGTAAGACTCGCCCACAGAGCGCTGCTTACCAGCTTGCAGGATCTGAGACGGTAAGGAAAAGGGCAGAGTCCACTCCTAGAAAATAATTCCACACCTGGAAGACCTCAACCAGCACCAGCACCTCCCAGTCAYCAGGGACCAAAGGTGATCATTTGAACAACTGCCCTCATTCCCTATGCCCTGCCTGATTCATCCTTCCTGGGAAGATACCTACTCAACCCTCACCATCTTCCTCCCCAAACCAGTCACTTACTTGAACTCTGCTTAAACCCAGTAGCTGAGTGGACAATGACATTCAGGAACCCGTAGAGCCCAGGAGATTCATCATCTGTGCAAGAGACCAGAGAGGTAAACATATGCCTCCTAGGAGAGGGAAGCAAGATGACATAGGCTGGTTCTACTTCAACTCAGCACTAGGCAAGGTGGTGTCACAGACCAAAAATGTACCCATGTCGTTTTCCTTGTTTGGGACTTTAGGATCTAGGTGGGTCCACAATGCAGGTGAACCAGTAGTCAAGACAAAGTGAATTAAATTTCCAAAGACAGGAGAGGGCGTTAGTCAGGTGGTGTGGAATACAGATGGAATGAGTGAGTGCATACACATGTGTACATGTGTGTGTATAAGCACATGCCTACGTGTCTGACAGCCCGCACACACATAGGCCACAGTGAAGGCAAAACCTGGCACGATCAAAAGTATTGGCAAATGAGTGCCTGGATGAGAGGAGATCTGGGAGGACAGCGGAGTGGGGACAGATCCACCACAGTGGGTTGGAGAAACATTAGTCTCAGGCCTATGACAAAGGACACCACTGTCTTCTCAATTGCCCAGCAGTGGGTCCCTTGGGAGAAACCATTTTTAACCAGTCCCACCCACACCTGGGAGAGAACAACAGGCTTTAATAAGCACATCCTTCTGAAGGAAAAGCCACTGGTCAGGGGGACAGTGCCAACAAGAAGGAACACTGGCTCTCGGCTCTTTTCCCAGGAGGCTGGTCTCACCTTCTTTGTTGATGGTCAGTGGAATGTGGTGGACGGTTTGAAGTTTAACACACGAGTTGGTCAGCATCTGCAGCTCCACAGATGTCAAAGAGAAGCTTTTGAAACCTGAGAGGGTGGAGCACATGCAGGGCTCATTCAGTCCACACGGTTCCTCTGTACCCATCCCACTTGACTCTCACCACACATTGGAGAGGGTACAATAGGGCCAACACTGGGGCTTGGTGGCTCCCAGATGAATTTCAGATATGGCAGCAGAGCAAGGTAAGGCTAGGCTCACAGAGAGCCCAGGCCTAGGCTCACAGGTAGGGACAATCTTTGATGCTTACAAACACATACATCCACACATATCTGCACACCAATTTAGTACAGCTACAAGGCAGGTCTGAGAATGAGAGAGAAACCTGGGAGGTCTCTCCAGAAATAAGTATTTTGCTGTCCCTTACTCTGCTAACACAGGCCCCTTTATCTTCCCTCAGGTGAGGAAAAAGGCTTATTTCTGGGGATAACACTGAGCAGAGAATAGATGTTGTGGTGCTGGAAATGATTTGAGTCCCCAAGTTAGGATTGGAATCCCTGGGACATGAGCCCTGACAGAAACTCATTATACCTTCAGGACACAGTGGCATCACAGGAAAGAAATGGCTCCATAGAAACAAATGATGAGCATGAGGGGATGGGACAGGTCAGGTTCAGGTAGAGCCCCCAGCTCAGAGTCTATGTGCAGTGGCAGAGCCAAAAATACTGCTTCAACAGGAGATAGTCCACTGCTGTAGAAGGACCAGGCCACCTGGGATACAGTGCTTGGCTAAATTCCCCCTACCAGTGGGCCAAGTGGGAAGCTGGGGAGCTGCAGCCCATGGACTTGGGGTGAGATCTGCCCTCCAACTCCTGAACACTGCCAGACGGGATCAGGGGTGCAGTTTTAAGTTCTGGAGAAGGAAAAAACTGCTAGTAGAGCAATGTGACTAGAGAAGGAAGGGGCTGTTTCAAAGAGGAGTATTTTGTTCTGAGTCAACCAGGTGGACAGGGGCCAGTACAGTGGTTGCCCAGGTGGATTAAGTCAAGGGCCCATTTGACATTAGCACCTGCTGGGGGGCAGACAAGGGTAGGGGTACAGGGGAGACCAAGGGGATAGTGTGGGTAAAAGAAAGGCCATGGTTGGGAGAGCAGRCAAGGGCCATTGTGAGTGTGCAGGTCCAGGGAGCAGGTAATTTTGGAAGGACTGGGGAGAGAATTGCCAGAGAGGTGCAGAGTTGGGGGAATGGTACACCTGGGAGTGGGTTGTGGGGTAGGACAGGTGGGAAGGTACAAGAGGGCTGGGGAGCTCTTCTTCAGCTTATTTTCTAACATAGGGTTCCCTGCAACATTTCCCTTGGATAAAGTCCCTCAAAAATTGTTTATTAATTTTTTTAAATAAAGGTTTAAAAACTACAGGAGATGCCTAAGACCCATTAGTGCGTAGGCCACTCACACTTCTTCTGCTGTTCCCGGATGTTCTCCCTCCACTCAGCTCGTTCATAGTCAGAGGAAATCAGGAATGTATAACTCTAGGTTAGGCAAAAAGAAGAAGGTGCCTGTTATCTTCATCCTAGCTAAGCCAGCACCTGGCAAGTCAGAGTACAGAGCCTGAGGCTTGCACCTCCCCACCACCAGACAGTTGTGCCCAGGTGTGCTCAGGTGTGCTATTATGATCCGATATGCTCACACACAAGCTTACTGTTTTCAGCATGTTCCACCTATCCCACTAGCTGTACTTCAGGCCAAACATCTGTGTAAGTTTGCCTCTGGCACAAGCCCCAACTGAAACACCTGGGTCAGGAGATGACACTGGCAGAGTGGGTATAACTTAGGAACATGAAGAAGTTACCAGAGAGGATCTGCAGAGGTCAGGGCTGATGCCAACTCAATTTTCTGTATCCAACCCACAAGTACAAACAGTGACCCAGAGATTAGGCTCATCAGTTGCCTCTCCGAGTCAGGCACTAGAGAACCATTCTGCACACTGACAGGTACATGTGACACCATAGAGAGGAGCCATATTCGTCACTTAGGATTCACATCCAATCAGGGCAGTTGTAAGAAGAACAGCTGGGCACCTTTCCAGCCCAGTATCAAGGACCACCCTAAGCCCTCCATTGCCAGAGTGCAACTTTCCCTTAGTAATTCAGTACTGCACCTAGATAATGGGATGACACAGCACAGGCTGCTGCCTGGGTATTGGAATAGCACACCCCAATGGCTCAGGTGGGTGATGCGAGACAGGAACTTAGAGGTATCTCTCCCACCTAGCAGAATGGGCTCCCTTCTTTTCCTGCCATTTTTTAAAAATTTGTATATTGATCTTATATTCTGTCTTTATATGCATTCCTTGGGATTTTCTATATATAAAATCATATAGTTTTACTTTTTTCTTTTCAAACTGAATGTCTCTTGTTTCTTTCTTCTTCTACTTTTTTTTTTTTTTTTTTTTAGAGCTTTAAGGTCATACATAGTAATTGGGTTCTGCTATTTCCTTTAAATGGACCTAGAGGTCCCCAGACAGCATTTCTGTACTAAGGGTCAAGTCTGCATGAGCTTGCAAGACCTGACCTTATTCCCTCCCTGGAGTCCCTGCCACCCACAGCTATGGGAGCTGAGTCAACGACCATTTCCCCTAGGGCTATGGACATGTGTGCTTTCATGTGTCACACTGGACATGTCTCTCAGTGCAGGTATGCCGTCAAGAGAAAAAGGATTGCAGTTGCAAAGGTCACACATGAGCTGGGGACAATATATGCCACGAAGCCAGATGGATGGATCTCAGCTGCAGTTGAGATCAATATCCCATTCAAGACCTAAAGCATATACAGGGCAAGACTGAGGGAGCTGGGAAGCAGCACTCACCTTGCCATTGCGGCTGTGTACCCTGAAGGCCATGCTGGGAGACATGAGCAGCAGCAGCGACTCCTGCTCTGACAGCTTCTTCTTCAGCCTCTCCATAGCTTTGCTGCCTTTGTTTGCCCTCTGCAGGGAGAAGACAGCCTCGCCTTTCCATTCTTTCCACTCAGTCCATCCCACCCACCCCATGCTGGGCTCGCAGAGGGCAGGGATCCCACCGGTGTACTCAGCACAGCCCAGGGCCTCAGTCAGCTATTGCTGGTGGCTTTTTGAGGACAGAAACAGCCCTTTCTTGAAGTCAAAGCCTGGCACAAGCTATGGAATGTGCTCAATAAACCTTTCTTGAAGGAATTAGTCTGTCCTCTTAAAGGCTAAAGGGGAGAGATCTTTACAGATATCCTGGCCTTTAGTTTTCCTAAATACAGTGTCCAGGATGCTGCCGTGACTTAAAGGGCCTCTCATGTCCTCCCTGACCTGAGCTATTTCAGTATCAGACCCTTGGGAGTACTTTTGGGGGTCCCAGCAAGTCCAGATGAACATCACTAGGATCTGGACAGGAAAATCCTCCCTATCCTGAGCCACATGGATCCTTCCTGAAGCTGCTACACCCTGAGGAAACCAAGATGCCCCTTACTAGTTAGAGACCCAACCCCAATCTCCAGAGAAATGGCACAATGCAGATAATCCTGAAGTGGCAGTCAATAGGGCTTGACAGTTTCTGAGAATGTAGCACTGGCTCCACCTCTGCCTGGGCACACTCTACCATGGAGGCCACAGTTCCACGACACAAACAATGTAATGCTCATTCCACGTACGAGGCTTCCGTTGTCATGCAGCTCCCTGCATGTTCCTAAATGTGCAAGGTTTTCAGTGCACTGGCTTGGGCAGGGGTGTGAAAGCTATGGAAGACCTCCTCCTATTGCATCCACCTCAGCCAGGTGTCTCTGGACCGAGGACCAACTTTCTCGAGACCCACTTGGTCTAAGGCTACTGCAAAGCACCTCTCCTATCCTGGACTAAACTCAGACTTGGGGCCACATCCTAACTATCTCTACCATCTTTTGTCTAGAAAGGAACAGTGGCCTGCAAGGCTGCACTCCTCATCCTGGACTAAGCCCTCATCAGGGCAGTTGTAAGAAGGTTAGCTGGGCACCCCTCCAGCCCCATAGCTGAGACTGCCCCAAGCCCCATATGGCCAAAGTGCAACTTTCCCTCAGTGATTCAGTACTTTTCCTGTGTATTGGGGGTGATACCTTTTTTCCTGCCACTTCCTTTAAATGCAACATTTAGGCTTTGCCTGTGAACCTAAAGCAACACAYGCCTTATTCCCTTACATAAACTGCTGGTTACCAAATGAGCACTCTCTCTCTGCCCTGCCTTTTCATTCCTGCCTTGTGCAACCTGGAGGTGGAGGACTGTTCTACCTCATTGCACCCTTCCTGCCCAGGATCCATTCGTTATTATCTCTGAACAACTTTTCTATTGTAATACGTATTGAGTTTGTACCTTCCATCGGAAGAATTAGGAGCTACCCCAGGCCAGGTTTTCCTTGGGACACTGGGGAAAAACCCAAGGTCAGGCTCTCAGAGTCAGGCAGATGTAACCTAGGCACAGGTCAGACCAGACCCACAAGGRCATCTAGTATAAGTAAGTTATGCACGTGAGAGTATCCTGGTCATGGGTCAGAAAACTGGGCACGGGGCCATCTGCTAGGTAAACGAAGTATCTCGTGAAAGACACACTGAATGCCCACAGCTAGTATCCCTTCATTTCTGTTCAGAGTTGGGATGTTAGCTGCTCTGGTGTAAGAACCCAAATTTAGCTGGAAGCTCAAAATATAACTGGTGCCTGGCTGTGACCAGATGCCCAGCACTCCAGAAGCTGAGAGCTCACAGGAGTYGCAGCAGGTTCTGGAGGCCAGCGTGGGGTCGGATGCTCAGAGGAGAGAGAACCCACTGGCTGATGTATGAGGGGCTGCTTCCCTCTCAGGTCACACAGAGCCCRGCCCTCATTTCCCCCAGTCAGATATACCTTCTCTCTCTGGATGTCACTCTTGATCTGGGAGATCTTAATCTTCAATGCATCCAGCTCCTCATCTGGCACCAGTGGGATGTTGGGTGCCGCTTCTGATTCGTCCACCATCTGGAAGCTGAGATCCGTGAGCGGAATGTACCATTTGCAGTCATACTGCTGGGTTTTTCTGGGGGAAAAGGAGAATGTTAACATGCTTATTGCCTTCTTTTGCTGATGTCACTATTTGAGAATCTGAGAACTCTGGGTCTATAGTGCTGCATAGTTATTTGATCCAAAACCCAGTGCTTATCTTATAAGACAGGTTGGAAGGAGGCTGTTGGCAGACACTGGCAGTCCCAACCTTAGTCACTCCTGGGAACATAAATTTCACACTTGACCCAGGGCCCCAAAGTATCTGAAGAGCCCTGATTCCCCTTATCTAGTGCTAACCCTGACATCTCATGGAAGCACAGCAACATCACCCAATGGAAGCATAGGACTGAAGTCCAGAGCTGCAGAGTTCAAGGAGCTGTGGATCTACCTGGTACAATCCCTTCATTTCACAGATGAGGAAACAGAGACTCTCTTCTGAGTTGACTAATTAAATCCACTCAGCACAATAACAGCAGAATGGCAGACAAAAGTCTGTTCTTTTCTGGCGTTGCCCTCTTTGCTTTCTTCCAACCTGGAATACCCTGGGCAAATCTGACCCCTGGTGGTGGTGAGGAGGGGTAGACTACAAGTCTATGTTGGGAATAACTTGGTAGCCATCACCAGCCAAGCACAATGGCACACGTCTCTAATTCCAGCTACTCAGAAGGATAAGGCAGGAGGATCACAAATTTAAGGCCAACCCCAGCAACCTAGTGAGATGGTCTCAAAATAAAAAATTAAAAAGGATTGGGGATATAGCTCAGTGGTAGGGCATCCCTGGGTTCAATCCCCAGTACTGTTAAAAAAAAAAATTAGAAAGAAAAAGAAAACTATCACCAGGGAGATAACATTCAATAATTACCCTGCCAAGGTCATGGGAGAGCTGACTGTACCCCCAACACCTGAAGCCTGCACCAGCTTCTGCAGCTTCTTGACCTCTCTGTCACTCTCTCTTTTCAGATGATTTATGACAAAACTTCCTCTAGTCATGCATGAAGCCATGATCAGAAAGTTGAGTCACTGACTCTGCCCCCAGGAGGTCTCCAGACTGCTAATGACAACTTTGACCTTGAACTGGTATCACATTCAGGTGGAAACAGAATGCAAAGACAGGGCCTGGCCACATCATTACTCCTGTCCCCCAGAGAGACCCTCTCCTCCTGGAGTGTTGGGGTGGGGTCACTGGCTAGGTGGGATCGGGGCCCCATTGTCACTCACCCTCCACTCTGCTTCTTGAGCTTGGTGCAGAGGAGCAGGTCGGTGAACAGGAAGACGTGGCGCAGCTTGCGGGCGCCCTCTACCAACTCCACCATGAAGCTGTCCTTCAGCAGCTGCCGGTGCTGCGGGCATGGTGGGGAGGGCTCAAGTTAGGGTCAGATGGGTAGGGTTGGTGGGGTGTGCTGAGCCCTCCTGGCCAAGCAGGAGCAGGTCAACTTTCTGGAGACATTCTCACCCTGGGGAGATTTCACTCCCTCCAAATCCAATACTCAGACCCACTTTTCAGAATGTTCTGTCCCACATCATCAGCCTGCTAACAGACAGGGGTTATGCATACTCCTTTTTGTTCAAGAAACATTTTTTATTTCATTTTTTTTAGTTGTATACGGACACAATACCTTTATTGTATTTATTTATTTTCATGTGGTGCTGAGGATCTCACCCAGAACCTCACACATGTGGGCAAGTGTTCTACCACTGAGCCACAACCCTAGTCCTCAAGAAGCATTTCTAAGTCCCTCCTAGGAGCTCTGCCTGAAGAGGAGGATGAATGAATGGGTGACACTGATGGCCATGGGCTTGGAGGCCAGGGAGGGGCACAATCAAGTAAATGGCCTGCTGTGAGAACAAGTGATGGGGCAGTCAGTACCTCTCTAGAGTGGCACCTGGAGATCCAGCACTGGCAAGAAGCCAGCCTCGTGAAGCAGGGGATATACCCATCAAGGAACTGTCATAAGCACAGGGCATGCAGCAGGAACAGGTTGAAACTTTGGGTACAGATGGGGCAGCAGCTCACTGGGAAGATGATGGGGCTCAGGAACTCTTTGAGAAGGGGCAGTGCTAGAAGTCATGGTAAGGGCCAGGCCTGGTCCTGAGGGCAGCAGGAAGCTGGGGGGACTCCATATCCAGGACTCCATAGTTTAGTTCTCCTGACTAAACAGGGTATGCAGGGCTCCAAGTAGGGGCTGCACCTCTTCTACTTACTATACTTATTTATTTAGGCACTAGGGTTTGAACCCGTGGCATTCTACATCCCCAGCCCTTTCTGTTTTTTTGAGACAGAGTCTTGCTTAATTTCTGAGGCTGGCCTCTGACTTGTGATATTCCTGCCTCAGCCTCCCCAGTAGCTGGGATTATAGTCATGTGCTACTGAGCCTGGCTCAGAAGCCACACCTCTGACACCAGCCTGGACAGAGAGCTGAGTCAGCATGGACCACAGGCAGGTGGCACAGGGTGGGTAGAACTAAAACAAACCGGAGAATGGGAGATGTGAACTCCCAATAGGCCCGGAGTTTCTCTGTACCTAAGTACTTCATCTGAAAGTCAAGGGATAGTCTTTTTCACATAGCTCAAGGGGTTGCTACATAGGCACATGGAGGTAAGTCACTAATTCATCCAACAAACAGTGCTGGGCATCTCAGATGGGTTGGGTGCTGTGCCAAGGACCTGGAGACAGAAGGAAAGACACTGTGCACTTTTCCCATACACATGTGTGCTGTGCAAGCACACTGTCTGAGTGATCTGATTACATCCCACAATACACTGTGGGTAGGTCCTTATGCTCATTTCACAGACAAGAAAACTCAGCCTTAGAAAGGTCCACCCTCTTGTCCTAGGCAGCCCAGTGAGCAAGCAACAATACTCAGTCATCCCTGCTCACAAACCCTGAGAAGCACCTGGCTTCAGGGAAGGGTTCCAGAGTGGTGATGACTCCACACTGTGATGGCCCTGAATGGTCTGAAGGTCAAATATGTACAACACAGTGTGTGAGAACTCAGTCTCTCCCCAGCAAGAGACACAGTCATCCCTAACTGGAGAAGCAGGGAGACTCCACACCCTTACCCTGGTGAAGCCAGGCTGGACCAGGGGCTCCAATGCTGCCTGTAGCCTCTACCTTCCTGGACTCCCCTCATCCTCTGTAGGAGCCAAAGGCAGCAGAATCCCCAGAAGTAGATGCAACTTGTGCCAGGCCCCCTAATACTCTAGGCATGGAAGTTACACATCGCAGCTCAGCTCAGCTCACGACAGCCAGCTGGCCGTTGGCACAGGGTAACCAATGTTTTTATGCAGGAGCTGCTGGTTCCCATGAGTAGAAGGGCAGGAAGGCTGCCAGCCTGCCAAGACCATGATTCATCACCACTCACCCACAATCCACATGCCGAGGGCAGACGGTCTGCTGGGCGATAGCACCCATGAAAAGCAAGAAACTGTGTGCACCTGGGAGGAATGTACATGCACCATTGAAGATCAAATGCAGGAGATCAAATTGCTCTCCCCTTCCCTCTCCCTCTCCTGGGAACACTGATTGTTGGGTCTGGGGGGAGGAGGTCAGCAGAGGGTCCTGGGACAGGACCTTAGGGAATGGCTACACAGATGCAGCAAAAACACAGAAGAAGGTCCTTCAGCTCAGGACAGAACCAAGGGACCTTCTATGTGTGGTGGCAACATGGGGTTAACAGTCCTTTCTCTATACAAAGGGGTTGAGCTTCTTTTGGCTACCAGCAGAGGGCACCCTAAGTTCAGCTCAGTTATAGTTCAGAAGTCCCCAGTACCAACTCATTCCAAACATGTAGAAGCTCTAAGGGGTAGATTCAACCTGGTCCTGAGTTGTAATTTTAATACCATAACAGTCGCCCAATGCCTCCTAACCCCACCTTCAGCAACCTTATCTTTCCAAGAGAAGTCCCAAAGCCGCGGGAATCTCAATATTTCCCAACCAGCCCCACTGATCCTGGTCCCAGCAATTACACTGCACCTTGTCTATAAGAGCTGTTCCAGGAATGTGAGTTGGTACATGTTGTAAACAGGCCTTTGGGTGCTGGACAGCTGGTGACCACAGTTCTTTTATAGGAGCTTCCCCTGAATATCAGAGATGTTTTCCTTAAGCTAGATCTGGCTTCTGAAACCCACTCCACCCAGGGACTAACAACTTCAAAAGAAAGGTCCAGCCTCCTAGCCCTAACAAAATAGATGGGCCCCAACCACAACTCTGGCCAATCCAGGAAGAAAGTCTGGACCCTGGCTGAAGGCTGGTATCAAGGGAATGAATGAGAGGAAYGGCAGGTGAGGAGGGCAGGAGAGGAGGGAGAAAGAGCCAGTCCTATAGGATGAAAACCTCTCAGACCTCTCTGCCCTGACCCTCAATCTAGGACCCATAACCCCTGGGCCTCCTCCCTGGCTCAAAAAGCTGGCCAGGCCTAGGCCTAGGCCTAGGGTCCACCCCGCAGAGAGCCCAGATGGAAGTTCCACACTAGGGTAGGGAGAAGGTGAAGCAGTTCCAGCAGACCTGCAGAGGTATATACGTGTTTCAGGAAAGGGGAAAGACAGGCCCAAGACAGATAATCCAGGGAGGAGAGAAAGAGAAAGGGCAGTGAAAGAAGACCCAACGGTGATTCAGCAAGAGGGTCTGCAAGGTCCTGCCCCTTTGACTAGGTATCAAAAGTTCTCAGACCATCACCTGTGCCATCTCCTCCATTCCCTCCCAGGACTGAGGCTCCTGTGGGGGACACTGGCCATCAAGCTATCAGTGGGTCAGCCCACACAGCATCAGCACAGAGTGGGGGAGGTCCATGCAGATTTGGTCTCTCCCTGGAGATGTCCCTCTCAGTGCTTATCAGCTTGGCCTTGGGTCTGGGAGAGCAGAAACTCAGCCTTAGAATAGCCTTGATTTCCAGCCCTCCCTCCCTGGACAGGTCCTATAGAGGATTCAAGCAAGGTAAGCTGGGTCACCCTCCATGGCATTCTAACGATGATGTGAGGTCACACAGTTGGAAATGACTGTCCCTTTGACTTAGCATCTCTCCAAGAGCAAACACACCAGATAGAGGTGAAAGACAGAGAGGGTTGGGAGCTTGCTGGACCCAGGACAGGAACAGCACCATACTTTGGAGAATCTGAGGGGCAAATGAGAGGAGCTGGCTTGCTGGGACCATAGGAATGTGTGTGTGTGTGTGTGTGTRTGTGTGTRTGTGTGTGTGTGTGTGTGTGTGTTGGGCGCTGTTGTCTATCTGTGTGTGTGTGTCCCTGTGTCCCCTTGAGTGTCCGTTAGTGTTAGGGTCCTGGTTTCTCCATGTATACATGTCCCAGTGTATCTTTTCCATGTGATTCTGTATAGATAGGGGTGTCCCCCTGTGATGTAGGGTGGAGGCATTAGGTGGCAGTACTCCTTCTGGGTGTTCCCTACATACAGGTGGAAGACACGAGCTGGAAAGGATACCAGTGCCTTGTCAAATAACCAACAAAAATTACCTAGTCAGGATCACCTGCAAGTTAAGGGACCAGGATCATTTGCACCTTCACTGCCTACAGTGCCCTTTCTCCATAAAGATGCCAGCTGCATGCTGTATTTCTCTGAGTCTCATTCCTTGAAAGTAAGACAGGCAGGAAAAAGACCTGTCTGGTGGCATTTTTTTAAGGATTAAATGAAACAGTGTGCCTAAAGAATCTCAGAGAAACTACTGGGTAACATTTGCTGAGGCATTTGTGGCTATAAGCACCATGTTCAGAGCTACCCTGCTCCTCATAAAGACCCCATGAGGCAGGCATAGTCACCTCCATTTCAGCAGACAAGGAGCCTGAGGTCCAGTCAGTTTATATCAGGTGGCTGTGACCTTCTGAGGGGTGGACAGCTGAAGGCTGCCATGCRCCGTGAAAAGATGGGTTGTCTCCTGCCTAAGGTTTGTTTCCCCTAGTGCAGCTACCTCCTCCAGCTGTTACTAGGACATTACTGCACCAGGCCCCCAACTCTGAGTCCAGGCTACAGCCCACCCAAGGCCTCCATGTGAAGTCCAATTTGGGAGAAGCATACTCATATGTTAGAGCCCAAATTCCAAATGTGATGGTATGTAGCAGTGCAATCTTTGGGGAAGCAACTGGGTTTAGATGAGGTAATACAGGTAGGACCCTTGTGATGGGATTAGTGTCCTTGTAAGAGGGAGAGAGAGAGAGAGAGAGAGAGAGAGAGAGAGAGAGGGAGGGAGGGAGGGAGGGGGGGAGGACGAAAGAGCCTGCAATGAGGAAAGGGCCTGTGAGAACAGTAAGATGGTTGTCTATAAACAAAGAAGAAAGCCCTCACCAGATCCTGACCATGCTGCCACCCTGACCTCAGATTTCTAGCTTTCAG